TGGGATTATCTTCAGCTTCATTCTACGAAAACCCTAATGCTAAGTAGTCAAATCATACTTCTTCACCTCTTTACTTCGTTTCGGTCTCCTTGAATTTGTGTTTGAAGATTCGCTTTCTTATAACCATTTATCCCTAATATAGGTGGAATAAAATAGACAAGAAAGCAATAAAAAAAGAACACTACGAATAACGCAAGTTATAACGAACCGCTTCGAAATTAATGAGTGCACAAACTGAACTGAACGCTGGTGGAATTTGAGGTATTGCATTAGAAAACGTATCCTTAAACGAAGCTGCAGATTGGAATAACAGGCGACGTGACAAATATATTTTGTGAAAAAGTGTGGTTCTTATGTACGTCATCCGAACTTTGAAAAGATACTTCTCGTCATTCAATCAGAGTTGCTTTTTTGCGTATTGCGGAATTCTTTTTTTTTTTTTTTTTTCCCCGTGTTGCTATCATGTGGTTTGATGAAGATGCGAAGTGGGCTTTGAATTTTACCAAAAAGTCTAAAAATAATTAACTGTGAAGTACTATTTAGGATAATTACTTTGTCAGTTATCTCTGTACTGTATGAAAGGTGAAAACTATTAGAAGAATGTTAATCTGCTAATAAATAAGGGGCGAGTCCAATATTCCCAGTTTCCAATTTTACATTAAAATTAATATCGAATTATCTTGTGAAGATTTTTACAAGATTAAAACCAACAAAGACTTTCTAAAAAAAGTCCTAGCCAATGAAATGTACATGTAAATATTGTTCAAATTTTTATTTCTCATTTAAAGTGTTTCTTCTTAGTTAACTTATATGAACATGTAAGAAATAAAATGTTTAAATTTATATGCTTGTGTCATTTATTATTACCCATGGTTTAGGTTCCTATTAAGTAACCATTTATTCATAACATTGAGAATAAACGACCCTCTAAAACACTCTAAAACCCGCCGCCCTTTGAATACGAAATATAGAGGCATAATAGACTTGCGCTTGTAATAGAGGTGCGGATTTACTATGTTGCCTTGAGGGGGAAAATATCGTTCTGAGTATTAAACAAGTTCTGAGTATTGATAGGATTAATGTCAGTCGATGAGCGACAGCAATTAGCATGAGTTCTGAATTTGGTTCTGAGTATTAGACGGGATTAGGTACAGATAAATGAAGTCTATGAATGTTAATGACCGTGCTTTTCCGTGAAATCTTGAAGGAAATATTTTTCGATAAGGATCAAACTTGTCATGAGCCGTTATTTATTTAGTACAACTTCTGCTGAAATAATTTTTATTCTGTTTCTTTAGTGAAAAATATCATTCTGTCATTTTATCAGTCTGTGCAAAAGTTACGATAAACCAATTTATTATTATCTTAAGCAAATAAATGAAAAAAATACGTTTTTATGCAATTTTTTATTATATTATCTTTTGATTTATTCTCTTAAAATATTTTTCATGAGTATAAATAAAATAGTATTGATATGACAATTCCGATAGTCAAACAACGTTGATGTTCGAATTGAAGATGCGTACGGGTAAGGTACGAACAGTGCGAAATTTGATCGAAGATCCTCCTCTCCCTCTTATCTAATAGACGAACTGCGCGACTTTTTCCTGTCCCCTCTTTCTAAGAATTTGAATTCCCAAGAAGATTATGTGCTACAAAAAGTCATTTATTGCCATTAATGGGCCATTTTATTGAGACTGCAAGCCTCTATTTTCGTTTATCAATATTGTAAAAATTGTGCATACAAAACAAATACTAATTTAAAATCTGGCGTGTGCTTAAGTAAAAATGAATTTCTTTTACACTCATTCTAAAGTTTTATGATGCTTAAAAGAATGATGAGCCAGATCTTTTTTGTTCTCTATAAGAATAAAAAACTTTCCAGGTTGTAGATTTTTGTCGCTGATATATACATATATATAAGTTTTGAATAATAAAATTGTTAGATTAATGACATACACAAAGCTGATACACAATCAACCTATTAAATATCGAATTTGTAGCGCACTTTAATAAGTTTCTTGTCTAGATAAATATTAACAAATCTTCTTAGATAGCAGATTGGTTTTAACTTTCAAATTTACCATTTTAGGTAAACAGTTCTAATTTAATTTAAACAATTCTCTTTATTAAATCTAAAAATTGGATTTCTTAAGTGGTCCTGAATTCACACTAATATTATTACAATACATTGCCGTATTAAGTTTTCCATTTTTAGTCATTGAAGTTATTTTAAGGTTATTTAACTTTCTTACAAAGTCCATATTTTAATACTAGAAACGTTTAAACATTTATTCTGTTTTCCAATTACTGTCTCATGTACTTTGGCATACATTTAATTTCTAATACACATTTAATTAATAAATTGATAATTAGGAGCGTCTGCAGAATTTTCATAAATAACAACAACAACAAAAATAAAAATTCGAACTCCCTCATATTCATATCTTGAGATTTTGAGTTCCCTTTTTATCCATTCCTTTTCACATATTGTTGCACTGTATTCAAGTTTTCATGTACGAGTATGTAGAATTTATATATTTTATATTGCATTTATTCCAATTTATATTTAAATGATAATTTTTACAAATTCTTGCATCATAACTCTAGTTAAGAGAAGATATTTCTAATTTCTAACACCTTGGTAAAGTTTCATCTTTAGCATGCAGCTTATTTTCTAACCTAGTTTCAGGTTGAATTATTTGTAAAATTAATTGTTTGAAATTATTATTATAATACCTTTTGCTCTAATACTGTTAATTAATGAAAGAGGTTTGTAATGCTAATATGTATGTTTACCAATACTTTTTATTTTATTTGTTAGCTCTCCCATTTACTACTGCTATTCAAGTAAATAGCCTGCTTGTTAGATATTCTTTACTTGCTCTTCTGATTGTTAATATGTACTCGTAATTCTATTTCTTTATTTTTATTTTCCTCTTGGCTGCAATTGGCTTCGAAAAGTTAAATTGCAACCCTGTAGGAAAAGGGGGAAATAAATTTTGATTCGCGCAGTTGAACTATAGCAGGACCGGGGGCAGGATTTTCATTCGCTCAGTTGGAGCCCACCCATGCGTACCGCAGTGGCAAAAGATGCTTGAAATATGGTTTTAATTCCTTAGACGTTTTAAATACACCTTTAACAGAATTTTCAAATAATATTTTGTATTGAAATACAAATAATAGTTTCCTTAATAATAATTGTATGCAAACTAATTATTTTACAAAGAGCATAGTTAGCACAAAACACAAATTACCTAGAAAAAAGCCATTTTCGTCAACTTTGTTATAAAATAATAGTATAAAATAAATTTTTAGGTAACAAAATAAATAGAAACTAAATATTTAGATAGCATATACTTAACATAAAATAAAAGTTTATCTGCAAAAAATTCTTCGTTGTAATTTTAATCACTGCTGTCACTGTATATTTGTAGTACTTCGTCTTCTTGAGGCGGAAGTATGAAAAAAAATATATAAAACTTCTTTCAGCAAATTTCTGAATTTAATTCAGAAATTATTAATAGATTTTAATAATAAAATTACAGTCTTGGAATATTTAGAAAGCTACCACACAAATTAAAAAAAATTGAAAAATGTAAAAAGTATATTTCATATATATTTATATTTTTCGCAGTAAATCCTGAGAGGAAGTTTGCCTTTGGAGACTAAAAATTTTACTTCTTTTTCGTTTCTTCATTTCTGTTACATCAATAAAGTTTAGAAGTTCATTTTGTAACCATTTTCTTTGAAGGTTTAGAATCCATAATATTTCGCCTCCGAACTCAGTTAGAGCTCAAATAAGTACAAATTGCAATTTTGATGAATTGATTAAGAGTTTACGATAAAATATCGAAATTTTTTAATATACAGCAATACGAAAACAAAAGTTAACACATTTGCTCATTTAGAAGCAGATAAAATCAATTAATACATAAATGTGAATGGAAAACTGAAAATATACATATCTACTATAGTGGGCAATGCAGCGCTGTTTCGGAGATTTGAGGAAGTTGTATAATTTCATCAGAAAGTTCGCCATTGGCAAATCAAAACTCTATTTAATATTTATTTTCTGATTATTTGCATAGTATTAGCAGCTAATCTTTTATTATTATGTATTTCTATATGAATAAATTCCTATGTATTTTTCTAAGCAAAGTTCAAGGTTAGAAGACTTTTCTAATTCTTGTCTCAAAGATTACAAACGTGCACCGTATTACACCGATCGCAAATAAGACTTTCTGAATGAGGTTTGATACTTATGGTTGCGTTTTTCGAGGATGGATGTTAACAACACCGGATGGATGTTAACTCATATACTCAGGTGGAGCTGATATTAATCGCTATTTGTTCATCGACGGGTGTTTCTCATTCAGTTAATAGGTGGAAATGAAACTACTGTTCTTGCAAAATATTATCAAACGATGCGTAATAATTTACAGAAATGTTCTTTTTAACTGCAAAGTTTCGGTCTTTCTCCTAAAATTTTAAATTGTAACAAAGAAATGATAGTTATTATTCAGGGGCGATGTTAACGCAGTTTTATAAAAGCACCATTATTTTGTACATAATTTAAATACATTTATCTGCTAGAGAATTTTAACACATATGTTAAGAACATATCAGAATTAAAAACAATTACAAAATTTGAAAGTTTTATGAAAACTGAACTGATATGAAAAAATTCCTACTGACATTCGTTTCCAAAATGGAGAAAAGTTATTGGAATATGTTGAAGCCTTTTGTTGATATGCCAAGATATTTGAGTAATAACTTTGGGAATGCGTTCATCGTCATAAACGATTACCATATAGCGTGCATGGAAATTAGATATTAGACATGTCTGGAATTCAAAATATTTTTCTTTCTCTTTGGAAACATGTAAGAAAACACGTAATGCGGCTCATCAGATTTGCTGTCACGTGGACCGCACGCAACTCAAGCCCTAGCTTTTATCCGTAACGTGCAGTAAAGTTATTTTTTCATCGCCACGAGAGGACACTACAGAATGTGTGGCAAAGATTATCTGCTCTGCTTCAGTTTTCTAACTGTAACGGTATTGATCAGAACTATGAAAGGTAATTTTCTCATATTTTGTCATATATTTGAACTTGCAGTTGTCTGCGAATTGTTTTGTAGAAGCTGGCAAATGACTAGTATCGTAGAACTTCACGATGTTGAAAAGTCAGGCATAATGTTTCATTATTTAGAAAATCAGCTGCAATAAAACTCCTATTACGCAAACTCCAGATGTACTGAGCTTTAATTATTCAAATTATTTCTTTTCCATCTCAAGTAAGAAAAAGTACTCTTGTTATTAATCTATTTAAACGTTTCTGATTCTCTCGCATCTATAAAATTTAAGGCACACTGTATATTACATATCATTTAAAAATTATACGCATGTGTATGATATTGATACAGAGATTGATCTACAATATTCGATAAATATGAATCTTTAAAGTGATAATCGAAAAGCAATTATAAACATTACAGGACACGCAAAAAAGCAATAATAAACGTTAATGAGAAAACGATTATATTATAATTTCCTGGAAAATTGTATTTAGGCCCACTATTCTTAGATTGTTCCTTGAAGTTTTATATAATATTATTATTAACAAATTCATTTTTTAATTTTGTCAAAAAATTATTTTGTTTACGAACAGAAAAGTATTTTATTCCTCTTAATCGAACAATCTTTGTTGAAGTAAAATATGATACATGAAAAAAATCAGGTCCTTTTTCTTGCTTGCCCCCACCGAAAAAGAAGCGCTTAAATTTAAAATGAAGTTAAATAAAGAATATTAAGAAAGGTTTTAAAAATAAGCTTTAATTTAAAGCACAAAATCATTAATATTCTAAAAGGAGGAAAATAATTTATCACGTAGTTTAATGCGAAGAAGAAATAAAGGATTAAAAAATTAAATCTAAGAAGCAAAATTTCTCTTTTCAAAATTTATCTACGATTACATCATGGGCAACAAAAACGTGAGATGCCCATGATGAATTAGAAAAAGATAATGGCTTTTGCATTTGACGATGAAATTGAATTAATATATTTCGTTATTTAGGAACCAACACTTTTATTATTTGTGATATAAAATTTTAGATGAATTCTGTAAAAGGAATTATTTAATGTATTTTTCCCACTGTGTGATAAATTATGTTTCTCCTTTTAGTTCTTCAATTATTTAATATTTTAAACATAAGCATATTGTTTAAGAACTCTTTATTTGATATTTTTTGTTTTTAATTTTTAATTTGTTAATTTCAATGACACGTTATCAATTAAATTATTCAATGGAAAAATTCTTTTTTTTAACAAAAACGAATCACTCTTTTAACTTCCATATATTCTGATGCATCAAACGATAAAAAAAAAAAATCCACCGATTTTGCCAAAAATCCAGAAACTGCATAAAAATCTTACATAAACTCCATTTAAAAGGTTTTTTGATCTATATCCGATGATGCAAACAGCCATTAAACGAAGTTAAATGCGAAAAATCTTTTCAACGTAAAATTTAGAAACTCTAAATCAAATTTTGTAAACATTGGTTCACCACACTGTATTGTAATTCATGAAAAATTGTGTAATCTTCATTTAAAAGATTTTTTATGGTCTATCCGATGGTGCAAATAGCAAATTTCCATTAGTTTTAGTTTGTTCATCAAAAGAAGTTAAGGACGAAAAATCGTTTCAACATTAAATTTAGAAAATCTAAACCGAATTTTGTAAGCATTGGTTTACCATATTGTAATTCATAAAAAATTCCGTGTACTATATTTTCCACTAATTCATGAGAAGTTTTGAAAACATTATTATTCTTTATTATACTGTTTAGATAGACTATGTTCGCTCCTTCAGAAAGAGTTTCTTTTATAATCTTTGAAAATTAAATTTTTTCATAATAGATACATTTTTGGATATTAGAATTTTACAGTCTCATAAAAGAGTATAATATTATGTACCTGAATAAAATTCAGAAAAGCAACTCTTAGTTGAAATCCTGAGAAAATGCATTTAAGCTTATGAAATGTAAAAAATTAAAAATGATGTGGTTAGGTTTCGTTAAGACGCAGTAACATCAGAACATGACGCTGAAACTATGTATCCTAGCCGATGATGAGGAAAAATGGGATTTTGTGTCACATTGTAGCATGTTTTCCAAAAAAAAAAAAAAAAAAAAAAAAAAAAAAAAAAACGTAGGAAATCGCCCAATTAATATTTTTTTTGTCATTGTTGTCTTAAAAGAGAGAGAAAAATTTGCTTTATAATCTATAAATAATTCAAAGTTTTGTAATTAATACATTTTTAGACATCGGAATTTTAATATTATAATTTGCGAATAAAAAAAATAATATATATATAAAAAAAAAAAAAAAAAAAAAAAAAAAAAAAAAATCGAGCGATTTTCCAAAATTCGCCCAAATGGCACCACGAATATCAATTTATAATAAACTGCGACTCAACGTATGCCAAAATGTTTTCGAAAAATTTATAAAAATTGCTGAAAAATACAAATTTTATAACAAATCAGATAACATCAGCGAATTTTGGTTGAATTGAACCTAAATTTCGTATTCTGAAAGAAGGAGCCAAGTAAGTTTAATAAAAATGATATAATAATAAATATATACCAAATTCAATTAACGTTGAGGAGGAAGAATTTTGAGAACTAATATTTTAAAACTACTCGTGCGATTTTTACAAAACATGATATTTTTGAGTAGCATAATTTGAGTAGCAGAATCGAAATTTGGAAAAAAATCAATGTCATTTCAGAAAAAGTCCGATCTTGTGTCAAAATATCTACGTTAGAACAAAGCTATATATAAATCTGATATATATCCTAATTCGTGTTTTTGAGACATGGAAAACGCAAGTTAAAGTTCGTCAGCTGGCATAGTAGAACGGGAGATACCTAACTGTCCCCTTTTTTTTGTGTAGAGTGTACTTATTCATATTTTAACGGCAGATTACTTACTTATCAGTATAACTAAACAAATACACTACACCTGCATAATAAAAGGAATTACACACAGTTTCGATCATTTATACAAAACATTCAGCAGATATCCGCAATACTCGAAAGAACAATTGTTTTTGAAAAACCAAACCATCTTTTTAAAAATCAATTCCGAAATCCTTCTGCTGTGCCTAAACATAAGTCTGGAGTCTTCAAATGAACATATAATGCTTTGCTTTGGTTTAGTTTATTATGGCAAAGCAAATTAGCATCTGCCTGAGGGAAGTGATGCCTTCGCGGATGACTTTCTAAGCGAAGACATGGGTATAAATTGTCTGTCCTTTTATAGGAGGTAACGGTGGCAGCTTATTAGGCGCCTCCATAATAAAATGACTACCGCTTCCGGCATTTGTAGTCGCGAAATCCTATAAATGGGTAGTGCCCGCTGGGGGAAGAAAACACCTTTCACTTCTACTATTATGAGTACAAAGTCAAGAAAGAGGAAACGAAATATGCATTCATTCTGTTTCACGGGCGAATGATGCATACAACTGGGTACCTGGGCTGAAGGCCCTACCCATATAGAAAAAAATTACTAATTATGTGTTCATTAACACAAAGAAAATTCCTAAATTAAAAAAAAACAATTGAGCTATATAAAGAAATTTAAGTAACAAGTTACATCATACATTTTGTCACAAATAACTTTAAGCTAAATCCTTAAATTATAATAAAAAGGTAATAAATTTAAGCAAGATATTAACATTAAATTATTTATAACAAGTTAATATGAGATAAGAATTTAAAGGTGTAGTGAAATAGAGTCGACTAATGGGGTAAGCATCTGGTGAAAGCCTTTCGAGCTAATATCCTAATTTGAGCTAATTTGACTAATATCCTGAAAGGAAGACATACAGCAAATGGATATGCATTAATTGTTAAGAACAGCATACAGCTTTTTCATGGCTACATAGATACTAAAAAAGTCATTCAAAAGATAAAATAATCATCTTTACAGGGAAGGATGTTGAATTACTTATCCCACAATCGAGAACGAAAGAATAATAAAAACGGGGGCAACAACTGATGAATAGAAATACGACGAAATTATTGAAGGTAATGAAGAAGAAGTCCTTAAAAATATGAAGGAATTTTCCTTGTGTTCACTAATACAAAGAATTTAATAAAGAGCTGCCTAAAAAGAATACAAAGATATACTCTGTTTCTTTAAAATGGGCACTTCAAGGTCATAGCGACCCTCTCTTCATTTATAACTGTAATATGTGCCCTCATCGCCATACAGGGGAAATTAGGAGATTTTAGCTAACTAGAGGAATTGATCTTTTTTCCGGAACAGTCGTTGTCATGATTATGAATTACGGTTTGGAAAAATGTTCTTTAGGTGCCTGTTATAAAGTAGCGGTCTAGTATACATCGACGTTCTAGAAAAAGTCGAAGAAAATCCTTTCCTTTTATAATATTACTTATATATACTTGTAAGATATTGAATATTATCGTTTAATGATGCAGTTTTGCTTAGGTTCTCAAGTTTTGCTTTATGTTTTTCCTAGTATTATTTTCATTTTCTGTTTCGATAAGTAAGAATGAGAAACTCTTCATTTTTAAAAGGAATTTTTATGTACAGGATGTTCTGATGGTTATTTTCGTGCTTCTTCCTCAATATGTTTGCATTTCGCCGAACCAACTCCTAATAGAGAGAAGTATTGCATTACGAAGGGTGGTAAGTTCTTTAGCCAGCCTTTAACAGACGAGGCAAAAGAAGATATCGCAAAAGCAATGAAGGAAGTGGCCAATGACTGGATGCCTAATGAGGCTTATATTGGCTTCCAGAAAGAGCTGGATCCGTGGCAAAGTGAGTATATCTTTGCTTCCTGACCTTGAATTCTAGACGAATTTCGCTGTCAAATGCAGTTCAATATTTGCTCATAATATCATGCGGTGTCCGTCGAAAACATCGCGGACGAAAACGTCGTGGAGAAAACAACGCAAGACGAAAACGTCGTGGAGAAAACAACGCAAGACGAAAACGTCGTGGTACAAAACATCGCCGGAGAAAATAAAGTTCAAAAACTTCTCAGTTTGAAAACATCGTCATCGAAAATATCGCGGTAAAGAATAAAGTATCTACAAATCATCGCATGACGATAACATCGCAGACATGCGTTTTTCAGGTTTTAATGATTGTAAAAGGATGCTCAAAACTGTAAAAGGAATGATTTGTGAGCGTAAGATGGAAAGAAGGATAATTTTTACTTTCATATTTTTTATTAACTAATAAATATTGGCTGAAAATGTAAAATGGAAATTTAAGCATAGACAATTAATGCAACTTATAGCACTTAATAGAGTTTTAAACTGACAGAGTTAACTAACAAAGGTCATTAAGAAATTGTTTTTTAATAAAGTTTTACTGGTAATTTTTCATGAAAAGTATAATATAAAAAAGAATAGAAAAAGGAAGATAAATAACTGCCTGACCTATCTGTAAAAAATTGCTAAGTTTAATTATGATATTATTTTCTTCACTTTTGTTAATCTGATACTCTTATAGTGAAAATTATCTCTTGTTTTGTTAAAAATTTCTATTCTATTTATTTAAAAATTTATTAATTAATAAAAAATATGAAAGTAAAAATTATCCTTCTTTCCATCTTGCTCTCACAAATCAATATGCGAGTATCCTTTTACAGTTATTAAAGCTTGGAAAATGCATGTCTGCGATGTTATCGTCATGCGATGGTTGGTCCTTTATTTTTTATCACGAGGTTTTAAAACTGCGAAGTTTTTGAACCTCATTATTTTCGACGACGTTGTTTTGTACCACGATGTTTTAGAACTGCGATATTTTCTCTTTGCTTTATTTTCTCCGACGATGTTTTGTAACACGACGTTTTCGCCTTGCGTTGTTTTTTCTGCGATGTTTTCGTCCGCGACGTTTTTGTCGCGATGTTTTCGGCTGTAGGCTATCGTGCATGTATTATGTCATAATACTTCAATAAATTCGATGTATAAGTTTTAGAAATCTTTTCGCAACGTCTTTCTTCAAAACTGCAATGATGTAAACTGTAAGTAATGGTGAAAAATTAACAATGAAAGTTAGTGCAAGGGATGGTCGAGAATTTGAGCGCGTCCAAGTGATTTTTGTTGTTGACAAGAATTAAATCGGATGTAGTAATTAACTCGAATATAATAAAAAAAATAGTATTAACCATAAAAAAATTTAAGCAATAAGAGCCCTGCATTCTTAAGGTGGATATAATAAGCATAAATATAGATTAATCACTTAATGCAAAATTCCACGCCATATCAGATAATAACATGCGCAAAGATAAAAGTGAAAAAATTACACGAGGACAAAAAATCCAAATAGCAATTTTTCTTCTCCTTGATTTTGGTATTTCAAATGCCTTTTCTGCTTCTTTAACCTCCCACTTCAATTTTTTCTTATGTTTATAGGAGGGATCTTCATATTTGTTTTGTAAATCTTCAATATACGACATCAGAATGAAAAAGAGATCGAGCTGTTCTTAAAACAATTTAAAACGGTGGTCCAATTTTTTTTAATTATCAAAAAGGGGAGTAGTGTGCTTTGGTTTTCTGACTGTGCTTCATTACAAAGTTTAGATTTAGATTTCCCAGGAAATAATCTATCTTAAAAGAAATATTTAAACTCACTCATATGAAAATGCAAAGGTTAAGTAATTAACCTTTTCCGTGAAAGTATTCACGAATATTATTTAAAATAAATATAAAAATCTAGTTCAAATTCTGAAGAGATAAAATGTTTGTCTTTGAGGTATGTCATTGTCTATCTTTCTCTTTGAGAGAACGGGAAAGAACCATGATGTTCGTACACAACGGTAAATAGAAATTTTTGGAGAAATGAATCATAGGTCTTTATTTATCCTTCTCAAAATACAGTTTTCTTACCTTAAAAATGTTCCTTTACAATTGTGTACGTAGTAAATCGTTTCTTTTAAAAACTAAATGAATTTATATAATCTGAATTGTTAATTTCATTAGTGATGTTCTTACCGTTGTTAGCCATTGCCATAGCTATCAAGCAGCATAAAAATTGCAAATAGAGTTTTCAGAATCCAGAAACATTTCTATTAGTTTGCTATGCGAAAACAGTAGGTAATAATGAGAAAACACAATTTTTCATGCTAGGATAATTTGCCGGGAACATTATTTATTCTCCTGAAAATTGCTAGCCCGAAATTATCACAATTGGGAAAAAGTGGCAAATGATTTCATTTGAGAGCTTTCAAAATCAAAACCAACTCTCATTTATTCCTACGATCACACTGGCAATGGCCGAGTGATGTTGTCAATTTGTAGAGCAATTAAGTGTTTTGATGTTGGAGACGGGAGAAATGAGAAAAGTCCTCGCGGGGACTCAAACCTGTACCTGTAGAATATGCGCCGAGTGTGCTACCGTTACACCACGAAGGCATGCAGAAATGAGGGAAAAAATACCTTATAATTTCAAATTATTTTTATGAATTTATACTGAAAAATTGAAATTTGAATAGAGTTAAAACTGACAAAATCTATAGAAAACAGCTAAATTTATTTCAGCGTCCTTGGCTGCGGAGTTCAGCGATCCACTTTATACCAGCGATAACAGAACTTAATTAATAGACATAGGTACACTTTCCTGTCAGCGAACGTAGTATGAGTAGGAGATAAGTAAGAGAGACGAAAACGATAATGGAAATATGCACATCTCGCTGAATTAATTATAAACAATTCTGTTGGTAATCTGCACGCTGCTATCTATTGCTTTACCTTGAGAATTTAGAATTTTATAAACAAATTTTAAACTTCGTTTATTGTATGTTAATGGTATTGATAAAAATCTTAATAATGTAGCAAAGGTTTTTTTTCATTCATCTTTAACTGGACAGTTAAAAATTTTTATGCTATGAAATTAGATTAAATTTTGCGCAACGGAAACTTATCATGGTCATTTAAGGCTCAAATGCTTTTAGTAGATTGTTTGCAAATTCAGATAGTGACCATGTGTAGAAAGATTAAATGTGTGTAGTTTAGGCCTAGAAAGTATACACATTCGGACTGCTTTTTTGTAGTAATGTTTCTCAACGTAATATAAAAATAAATGCATAACATCTGTCTCTTCGTTAAGACCTTTCTGGGGATTAGTGGAACTTTTGATGGCGAAGGCGGAGCGTGTCTAATAAAACTTATTGGAAGATTTATGACAGAGCCATCTAGTTTAAGACACAAATAGTCCAATATTAAATAGGCTTTTGATAAAAGATGTAAAATAATGTAAGAATTCACCTTTATAGAAAAAAATGGAAATGGAAAAAAATCCTACATGTTCTAGGAAATAAATTAGTAATTTCCATTAGACAAAATAAACACAAAATAAACTAGTAAATTACATTAGAAATCCCTCCTCGTTGTGCTGCTCAAAACGTTTCCGCAGATTATTATCTGATATTTGTGCAGAAATATAGTTTCTCCACATTCTTTGAAGTGGTGGGAATTTTAGAATAATATGAGTGCTATCAGCATCCGATATACTCCGTAGACACGCGCAATGCCTTTTTATGCTTTGCTGATACATCGTAAAATTGTGAGGTTGACGAGTTGTTAGATGAGAGAAGAGCGATGTTAGTATAGAAGCTCGAGTCTTAAAGATAACTGAGGTGCAGAATTTAACACGAAAACATAAAAATGTGTTTAGAAAAGCAAAATATGACTATGCTTTTAACTAATTTAGGAAGTGAAAGCAGACTGCTATTTACATGGAAGAAAAGCAGGAAGATGCGTAAGAAATGTAAGTTAGGTAAAATTCAGCCCTACAGTGTAATTGGCTTTGTTTTATAACACTTCGCAGGAGGCTGATATGATGCCTCCATTTCTTCAAGGAAGAAAAGTCATCTGAATCATTTTGTTTGAAGAAATGAAATAAAAACAAATTGTTGGGTGCGTATGGGTTAATAATACATTGGATACATACAGGTCCAATGATAGGTTGATAAAATTCATTTTATCAAAAGAAAAATTTCAGATTTCTAGAATTTTTCACAGAAATACTCGAATTCATAAGCTATTTTACATCAAAATGGTAATGAAAAAGGTGTTTACAGTATCACAGACTACAAGCAGTAGTTACTCTTCAAACTACGAAGAACGTTTAACAAAATGAAAAGCGCGTCTAAAGAGAAAGCTAACTCAGAGATATCTCAGTACTCCGACCTCACACTGAAATAATAGCTAACAACAATAACTCGGAGCAGATGCTCTTTATGGCCTTATATAGTTTTCACCCGACTGCCGATATATTTCTAGTGCTTTCTGCTTCTCGAAATTACTGGAAGGCAATAGGAGAGTCGAATTACGGTTACAGCTAATATAGTGGTCAATTATATTTATTACTTTTGGCGATTTGTCGCCAAATTACTGAGATACCCATTTACTATAATTTTAGAGGAAGTAAAGTTTAAAAGAATGGTTAAGGGATTAACAAAACTTAAAGGAAGATTTATTAGTTTCTGCTTTTCTGTTATGGGATTCATGTTTGTATTGAGCAATTCGAACCCTTTCTTAATTTGGTCAATGCATGTTAAATGACACTGACAGTGATTAAGATAAAATTTAGGACTTTTTATATGCCACATATATTATATGCGACAGGTCACATGCATTATATATCAAATATCACACATAGCCAAATTCAAGTTGAATCTTATCTAACTTTAAAAATTGCCATTTGTTTGGAACAATTATGAAAATCAGAATCGCTGTTTTAATTCTTATGTTTAAAGTTATGTTATTGATTACAGAATATTTTAAAATTGAAAATTAAGGACCGTTATA